ATGCTTTTTCCTGTAATTTGATGCTTTCCCCAGCTCCTTTGGCCAAACATAGATGGCGTGTCCTCCCTTCATAAATTTTTTCCTTGTAGTGGAAGTGTCCTGTTCTAAATATTCTGCATGGCTATTGATCTATCCCCTAGCCTCGTACCTAAGTTGTCTTCAGCCAGTTAAACTTTTGTGCCCACACAATTGCCACCTTTATGGTTTTAAACACTAGCCTTGGACCCAATTTTCTCTGGCTTATAAAATTCAACGATATTGAATCAAATATTGTGGACATGACAACCCATGGATTCATCCTGTTATATAACACACCAAATGTAATGTAACCTGCTTCCATCTGTTGCAAAACGTGCTGCTGTGACAATCTAAACTAATCCTTATTAGCGAAGACCCATTCATTTCCTCTCAAACTCCATTTTTATTTAGCCCGTTCCCCCTCCTCACTGATGGTCTGCATTGCACTTAATGGGTTTTGCAAGTAAATCATTCAAATGGAAACACTATGATTTACTGGTGGTGGTTCATAAATGGGCAAAAAAGTCTGGTGATGGAAAAAAAAGCCGTTCATTTGAGCTTAAGAGCACCTCTGCATATAATAAAAATTACTCATTATTAGTAGGCACGGAATCAACACTGGACGCACTCCCTACAAAGACTTAGTCGGCATCACCTTGGAATACGTGCAATGCATACGATTTAAGGCGAGAATGTGGTGCTGTATCCCTTGGCTTCTCTCAATCACCGTTGAGAACGCCGAAACTTCGCGCTCATTGGAAATAACGCGTCGTTCATCGGCTCTCGCTCAGTATGTTTAACACTACCCCCCAAACCCCCGACCCCGACCACTCCTCCACTTTAAAGTTTTGTCCCTGGGATGGATCCATATGTTCTCGATGGTTGTGCTGCTCGTCTGCGCACGTCCCGGACTGCCTACCTCCATACGCCCTCCGACTCCATCAACAACAACCCCAGTAGCTGTGACAGCAACAACACACCTGACCCCCAGCGACTCATACTCGCCAATGCCAGGCCGTCAGCCGTTAACCGCCACGTGCTCCCCAGCGAGAACGTCCAACCGCCGAACCCGCTTCCCGCCTCGCGGTGCGTCATCACGCTGCGAACCTGACGTCCCAATCGTACTCCTCATTGGGCCGCGAGCAAATTTAAAAATCAACTGCCAGTGGTGGGGCCGTTAACGTTGTTTCTTTTTGACAGCTCGGGTTCGGGCGTTTCTTTTAAGACGTTCCGTTCCAGAAAACAGTTGACTGAATTTATCGGATCGTAGAATGGCTGCAACAGGAAAGGAAACCATTCTGCCTGCCCGCATTTACAGGAACAGGAGTAGGCCATTAGCCCCTTCAGGCTGTTCCAACATTCAGTGAGATCGAGGGTGATCTGTGGCTTAAATCCATAAACCCGCCTTTGGCCCATATCCCTAATACCTCTGCTTCCCTGCTCCTCAGATGCTGTCTGACCTGTTGTGCTTTTCCAGCTCTACATTTATTTGTTCCGTTTCACTCTTCATCTACTAATTTTACCACTGAACTCCAGGCCTACAGCTTAGTTATAGAACCACAGAATCCCTACAATATGGGAGCAGGCCGGTCAGTCTATCGAGTACACACTGACCCTCCAAAGACCACTTCACTCAGATTCACCCAATCCTCGTAACCCCATATTTCAATCTAGTCTTCATATCCCTAGACACTATGGGCTATTTACCATGGCCAATCCACCTAACCTGCACATCTTTAGACTGCAGGAGGAAACTGGAGCACTTTGAGGAAACCTGCATGAACACAGGGAGAATGTGCAAATTCCACACAGATAGTCACCCATGGCTGGAATTGAACCTTGGTCCCTGGCACTGTGATGCAACAAAGCTAATCACTGAGTTACCAAATCAAACCGGGGTTATGTCAAACATTGTTACGCACTTTTCTCCTCATCAAGGTCAGAATAGTGGTGACCATCGATGACACACCTTCTCGCAGTACCCTGCGTCTTCAATGCACTATTATCTCATACGCTTATACGTTGAGTTACCCCCTTCATAAATTATTGTCCACTGTGCATCCCAGCATGCTGACTCCAATCCCCAGCTTGACCTCTCCCTCCCCACCCCGACAGCAGTGGCCCTTGACATTCCTGGTGATCCCGATGCCTAAAGTGGCCTTGCAATGCAAGGTGTTGGTGAGCTCTAAAATGCAGTATTGAAGTCAAGAACTGTGTAAGTGTGTTGGAGATGTGCCATGATCATGTGGTGAAACTGGTGAAATAAAAAACCAAAAGAACTGCGGATGCTGTAAATCAGAAACAAAAACAGAGGTTGCTGGAAAAACCGCAGTTCCAAGAAATGGTCACTGGACCCAAAGCATTAACTCTGATTTCTCTGCACAGATGCTGAGCTTTTCCAGAAACTTCTGTTTTTGTTGTTGGTGAAACTGGTGCTTGACCAATACCAGTCTCCGTGATTCGAGGATGCAGATCATCACTGTCCATGGAGTTGGGGACTACTGGACAAGATGAACACCTGAAGATGATGTTGACAAGTTATAGCCACCAGGTACCCACCTCTGACCTTTCACATCAAGAATTATTGCTGTCTATTTTGTCGTCCCCTGCCTGGGAAAATGGCAACCCACAGACAAATGAGGTGAGATTAGATTATAATGTGATGCTCATTCACAAATCAACCTCTCAACACTCATTTGTGAAATTTTTACCTAGTTGTTGAATTATTATGTGCAAAACCAGACTTTTATTTCTGCCACATCAAGATTCTAACTTTTTCATTTTCACTCTACTATTGCAATTGTCCTAGCATTGCCCAAATCATTCAGGGGTGGGGAAAATGTAGACTTTCTTGGTCAATCCAGTCTACTTTATCTTTCTCTTGTGTACGGAAGGTAGTGTTTTGATATGGAGAATCCCATTAATCAAAACGCTTTCTCAGAGATTGTAAGGATCCACTGAAATCAAGTTAGGTTTTTTGAAAATTGTGTGTGTTTATGATAGACTCCACTTCCATGCCATTCCCATCCCCTCTACCCAACAAATCCACACCCCAATTCCTGCAAAGACAACGGGAGAGTTGTATTTTCATTTTAACCAGAGAAGTTACCCCAGCCGACCCACCGTCTCCACGTGCTCCTGCCCCAACAAACTCATCTCTTTCTACCTCGACTTCATTCTCTCCCCCTTGGTCCAGTCACTCCCCATCAACTTTGCTAACAACTTCCATCCCACCCTCAAATTCACCCCCCTTTCTTGACCTCTCCATTTCCATTTCTGGCGACAGTTTACATACTGACATTTACTATGAACCTATAGACTCCATAGCTACCTCAACCAAGCCTCCTCCCACCCGGTATCCTGCAAAAACTCCATCCTGGTTTCTTAATTCCTTCGTCCTGGTCGCATCTGCTCCAACAAAAGGTTCCACTCCCGAGCATCACGAATGGCCACCTTTTTCAAACAATGCTCTTTCCCCCCTGTCATCCAGACAGCCATCCACGTGCCTCCTCCATTCCCCACTCCACAACTCTTAACCACCACCGCCCCCTTCAGATATAATAGATAGGGTCCCACTTGTCCTCACTTTCCATCCCACCAGACTCTGCATCCAACGCATCATCCTTAAACACTTCCACCAACTCCAATAGACCCCACCACCCAGAACATCTTCCACTGCCCACCCCTCTCTGCCTTCCACAAGGACTATTCCTTTTGCCACGCCTTAGTTCACGCCACACTCCCCACCAACCACTCCAACCTGCTTGGTTCCTTCCCTGTAACCGTAAAAGATGCAAAACCTGCCCACACACCACCTCCATTCATGGCCCTAAACAGTCCTTCCAAGTGAGACAGCTTCACCTGCATCACTTCCAACCTAGTCTATTGCTTGCGGTGCTCCCAATGTGGTCTTCTGTAAGGCAGAAAGACCAAACGTAGACTAGGTGACCGTTTCGCCGAGCATCTCCACCTGGCCCATAACAGCCAACCTAACCTCCCAGTCACTGGCCATTTCAACTCTCCGTTCCACTCCCCCTCCAACATGTCCCAACTCAGCCGCTTCCAGTGTTGCAGTGACTCGGAACACAAATTTGAAGAACAACACCTTATCTTCCACCAGGGCACCCGACAGCCCGGAGGCCTCAACATCAAGTTCTCCAATTTCAAATAACCTTACTCCCCATTCCCCAATTCCCCTTCCAGCCCCACCTCCTCCCTTCCATTCCACCTACTGACCCTCCCTTCCAGACACCAACCGGATTAATCTCTCCCATCGATCAACCAAGTCATATCAGGACACCAGTGTCCACCTATCACCACCATTCCACCTCCACTCCTTCTCCCCCACTTTATCTGCAGCTTCCCCTACCCCCATATTCTGTCCTGAGGAAGGGTAATACCCGAAATGTTGACTGCTCCTTTCCTCCAGTTGCTGCCTGGCCTGCTGTGTTCTTCTAGCCTTCTGTTTGTCTACCTTGGATTCCAGCATCTGCAGTCTTTTTTGTCTCTAACCAAGTTATTAATATTGATGCACAACAAACGTACATCTACAAAAACACTCTCAATGTCCCAAGGAGTAGGAAAAATGAAAATTCAGCAAAGTGTAGGGGGAATTGGGACAGAAGATTAAATACATTATCAAATAGGTACATTTTCAGGGATTACTTTAAGCCAAGAAGATAAAAAGAAAAGTGGAAAGGGTGTGGAAGAATTTCCAGAGAGAGAGCCCCAGATAAATTAAAGGTTTGTTGCTAACAGAATCATAGCAATGGCATGTGGGATGAGGAGATATGATAAGCGTTATCGTGAAGTAGGATGTGATAGGAATATGAAGAAATATGTAAAGAAGCAGAAAATTTTAAACTTTGTAACTTGTATTTTATGTGCATAATAGAATTCCTTTCATAGAAAGGATGACAGTGAACATAAAAATGAGACTGACATTTAAAACTAAACAAGTATACAAATAACAGTTCAATGATATTATATAACCATCATACAAATCCCTTAGTAAACATTTCTAAAGTCATACAAGTCTACACAAAAAATTACCTAATTGTTTAAGATGTAAATAAACAGGATACATTTGTATAATTAATCTGCACAGTGTTCAATCATAATACTGTAATGTTTCATATAATATAAAATGATTGTTCCTCGGCATTTTAAAACAACTCTTAGGAAAGCACATACATCCTTCACTGCTTTTGAATAAGTAAAAGATAGGTATAAAATAAACAATGTTAATTTTATATTTTGTGAAAAACTTATGTTACATGTTAGAAGACAATATAAATAATTCATTATGCAACAACTTAAGCAATAAATTCCTCAATTAAATACTGACAGAGGGACAATGAGGGAGAGAAACAGCATGCAGAAAAAGGAAAGAAAAAGGGTGCATTTAAGAGCTGACAGAGATTTAATTTTTAAAAAATGACCTACTGGAAAAAATGGAAAATATCATCCAACCTTTCAAAGTTCCAAATTCTTCCATTGAGCTATTATTGATGCAGTTTGATTAAATTATGGCTACAGTTTCTTAGAAAGCAGAATGTAAAATATGTAACCACTAATCCAAACAGTAGTGTGAGATTAACTTAAATAAAAGATTTAGAGGAAAGAATTTCCTAGATGATTCGCCCTTGCTTATAGATAGCAGAACAATGAACTAGCATTTGGAAAATATTAATTTGTACTTTGTAAATTTTAGCAACAGTTTTGCTTCATCTATTTTACTTGTTATTTCTGCAGTCTTCTTGGAGCATGTTCTATGTTCATACAAGCTTTATTTTCACAATCATTAACATCTGAAAATTGATCAGACCTGCAGATCACAGTTATATAGAGCAAAGCAGTTGGTTTAGCCTATCTCCTCACTTACTGTTATAATAAAGACAAGGATTAGCACACTTGCATATTAGTAATATTAGAAATTAAAACAATAGATAAAATAGACAATAGCAGATCCAGGCAGAAAATAGAGCAGGGTTCAATGATTGATTTGTAAAAGTTAGTTCTTGCATGCTTAGTTGGAGTTTGAAGAAATCTGGCAGTACAAAAGGTTAGGAGGAGGTGAGGTGTCTGTAAAATTTAAATTTCTAAAGATAATTGACAAGGTGCTACAGAGGATATTTGTTAGGAAAACTATGGCACATGAAAATAAGTGGATTGTCATCACATTAATAGACAGCCTTGAAACAGAATAGGAAATAATGATAAATGGGTATTTCTCTAGATTGGCTACTAAATTAGGGTTCTGACTCCAACCTCTAGAAAAATAAAGTTGAAGATTTTTGATAATAACTTGGGAAATGGTAAATGAGGAAAATCACAAGCAGGTACTGATATGTTTGTGAAGTTAGTGAATAGGTGGCATATGTTTCTCAGAGAATGCAGAAGAAATAATTTAGGGAAAAAGAAGCACAAAATATAGCCTAATGGTTAAATTCTTTCCAAGCTGTCTTGTAGTTCAAATGCAATCGCTGTTTAAAAGGTGGAAGCATGGGAAAGGATCATAAAATGTCAAATATAATTTTGTGTTACAGATGCATTGAATGCAAAGCAGTAAAGTGATGTTGAGGTTTTAGAGATCTGGTTAATGTTGCCTTGCACTTACATAGCACTGTAACATATTCTCAACATATTCTAAAGGTGTTTTACCATTGATGAGATTACTCTTTAACAGTTCCTCCTGTTATGTAGGCAACACAGAAGTCAATTTCCATCCAGTAAAGTCGCATAAACAGGACATGAATGAATGATCAAATAACTTTTTTTTTGACAATGTTAATTAAGTCTGCTAGGCCACAATTGTGTACTCTGATTAGTTGTAGGCACCAAATTATTTTTAAAAATTGAAGCCACAGAAATAATAGTGAATATTAACTAGGACATTTCCAGTAATAAATAGGCATTGATTTTAAGGAAGGCTCAAAAAATTGGGGCTTTTTCACAATAGCAAAGATTAAGAGAGGTCTGAGAGGATTTATAAACTTAGAAAGTTTTGATATGGTAAATAATGATTTTGTTTTTTGTAAAAAAAGTGAACAAGAGGGCAAAAAGTACAAGATCACTAGTAGAATGAAGGCAGATTGCCTACAAAAGAGTAATTTGAAAATGGAATGTTTTGCTGAAAGTGACTTGGCAATAGAGGTTACACCATCATTTTGATGGAAACTGAATAAATATTTAAACGATAAAAAGAAATATGCAAAAAAAGAGAAATAAACTGATTTGGAGTAAGTTCAGTTTGAAAAGCAGATGCAATGGGCTGAAAGTTCACCTTCTATGTGTAATTTTGATCATTTTGTGCAGCATTAAAAATGCCACAACCAGAAATAATTGCAAATAGGATGAAAACGAGAAGAGAAACGGAATCTATTCTATCTCTCTTCCTCCCATTGCCAGAAGATACTACTACTTCTGGAAACAATTCCATTTCCTCCAAAATTACTACATTTTCATGTCATGGTCTGGAATTACAAATGTTCCATTAAATTCTTATTTCAAAGGATAGTGCTGTAACATAAACAATGTTATTGCATATTACTCCAAAATTGATATAAGGCACACATAAGGATACATTTCACAGTAGGACAACATTATTCCTTTGATACCATGTTCAGTGCATTTTTGGTCTCCATTTACACATAATATTACTAAGAAATAATTTTCTATTCTGTTTTTAAGTGAATAATTCTAGCACATCCCAAAAACCACCGGGTCCAGTTTAATGCAAGCTTCCTGCCATTTCTATCATTGTATCAATACAAAACAGATGAAACCAAGGATGGGTAGAAATGTGAAGAGGGCAAATGAAATCTTGATTCTGACCCTCTCTTGGGTCTGTACATCTGGCGATTGGAGGTGTACAATGGTAAATGACGACTGGACCGATTTCCAATTTTTCTTTCTTTGTCGTTGGAAGCATCATACAATTGCATCTCCTAGTGATAGCACAGTAAAAATTGGGAGCTTATTGTTAATTGGTTCATTGCAGCATTACTCATTCTGCTGCTAGTGAAGGCAAACTTTTCTTTAAATGATCATTCATTGGTAGTTGCTTGTTCAGTTAAAACACCTTCCTCTAATCATAATGGTATTTAGAAAGCAATTCTGAAGCATGTATTCTTGTTAGATCATTTGTATTGCTATTCCATCTTATTGTGGGTTATCATAAATGAACTTCCAGGTTAGCTAAGCATGACTCCTGTAGGTGCAACTCCCAACAAATCTGTTGCTGGGAAGTCCAAGTAACACTGAATGAAAATTACAATGAAGGCAATTCACTCCAGTGTTCAATGCTACCCAACCCATCATACTGAATGCCTCATAAGATGAGCTCTCTCTTTTTCATTCGGACAAATACAGAAATGTTCTACAGAAGGTCAGTGTTGACATAAACTCTCTGGTACTGACACAGGAATGATTAAAGAGTTTTCCCAATTGCTTTCTACGTATTAAATAAAACTCATTGCAAAATTACAACAGGAGATCTGGCAATTACTCCAGCAACTGCTCTTAGCTTCACATGATGAGTAGTGATGAGGTATAGAATAATCCATTAAATCACTTAAAGAAATTACTGTTAGGCTTAATATTTTTGAGTCTTCCCAATTGTGAACTTCCATTGCAGGACATGTTCACACTTATGACACAATGCAATTTCCTTAAATTATAATTTAATACTCAAGAATAGATCAGTCCTAGGCTTGGCTAGTTAGCAAATTTATCACGATGACATTGCCATTAATTATACCACAAATTCCAGCAGTTGTTCTTCTCCAAGAAGATCTAGAGATAGACAGTTCATTGAACGTTTGCCATAAAAGGTGGACTTAGTTTTACAGTCTGCTGTGTAGTAAGTGTAGCAAAATTGGCTATCTTTGTCGTCATTGATGCAACCAAACGTGTAGCTCTGGGAGCTGTCTGAAGATAAAGTAGAGCCTAAAGGTAGTTGCTGTTGGTACAGTCGCACATCGTCCAAACTCTGACTGTGGCGATCAGTCGAGTTTCTAGGTTTAGATCGAGGAGCCTATAAAAGTGGAGACACATTTATTCATTTAGCTTTTCTAAGTTCTTAAAGATTAAACTGTGGAGTTCAGTTCTTTGCATTCATATATTAAACCAGTAATTGTCTAGGTGCTATATTAAAAAGGTGCTCTGTCATCAATTATTTCACCAGTAGAGCATTAAAAAGAATCTTCACTTTATCTAGAAAAAACTTTTAACCTATATCTAGTTTCACATAGATTCATAACACTGTTGTTATTACCCGAGCTGTTTTCACATTGATGTTAAAAATGGCTTAACAGCAAGTTTAAAACATAGCAGAGCAGTGGGTTCATCGATAATATTATAGAAGACCTCAAGTTATTGGTCTGCTAATCTACATTATAAACATAAGTACTCTTTTACGTTTACTCTCTCCTGGGCAACTAATTGACAGAGCATCTTTTCAATATAGCACTTAGACAATTACTGGCTTAATATATGAATGCAAAGAACTGAACTCTAGTTTCTTAAAAAGAAAGTAAAACCAAGGCATCATACCTGTGAAAGCGAGTCTACACTTTGTCCTCGAAGTTTTACGGAAGGATCACACAAACTCACAGCGGTATCAATGCTAACATCTGTAAAGTGAAACAAACTCTTACTTCATTGCTAAAACAACATATAAACATGATCTAATTTTATGAAGATAATGTCAATATTGGCTTCCTTTAGGTTCCTTTAGGTTCCTTCACCAAAAACTCAAATTATTTCTGTAAGCAGGTGAGATTTTGATTATTTCACTTCCTAGGATTCCATTTATTTATAATTAAGTTCTTTGATCTACATTGGCTGGATAAATCTATTTATATTGTCAGATAGGATAGTGAATTCTTGTGTGTTTTGGGGATTGTCAGCAAGTTTGGCTACAGGACATCACTATGGAACATTGTGACACAATTCACGGAAGAGATCAATTAAAAATCTTAACAGCCCATTATGTACCGACAGCTTGTATTTATCCAGCCAGCACCTTTAGCATCTTAAAACATCTCAAAGTGATTCACAGATGTGTAATCAAACAACATTTCACATTAGGGCGATAGTCAGAATCCTGATCAAAGTGATAGGTTTTAAGGAGGGTCCTAAAAAAAAGAGAAAAAGATGTGGAGAGGTTGACAAAATTCCAGAGCTTTGAAAGTTGTCAGCTGAAGGCACGCCAGCCAACAGTGCAGTGATTAAAATAAAAGATGCTTTGGAGGCCAGAATTGACTAGAAATCTGAGATGCTCAAGAGGCCACAATTAGCTAAAACATGGATGTCTTCAAGAGTTGTCGGACTTGAGGAGATTGCAGAGAAGGAAAGAGTATTGTCTCGACAGATTTGAACAAAAAAGGATGCAAATACTAAAGTCTAGAATATGCTTAACAGGTGGTAATACTCCTGTGAAGTACCTTGAGATGTTTTAATACGTTAAAGGTGCTGGCTGGATAAATACAAGATGCTGTTGGTACGTACAAGGCTGTTAACATTTTCAATTAATCCCCTCTGTGAATTGTGAGAGTGTTCCATAGTGACAGCTCATATTTGATTTGTGATTTATAGAATGCAGTCCCCAAAAACAGACTTAGCCAAAACAGATCAATGAGCAAGGAAGTAAGGGTGTGAGTTAGGGCACAGGCAGCAGTTTTAGAGAAGGTCAGATTTAGACAGTAGGATATAGGAGGATGGCTAGAAGGGTGTTGGTATTATCAATTCTAGAAGTAAGAAAATAATACCAAAATTACTGACTAGCACATAATATATTTGTAGCTAATTTTAACTCTAAATAAAAACTATTAATTAGAGTTTTTTTTTTAGAATTAGTCCCTTCTGTTTTGTTATTTACTTTGATGCTATTCACCACACACTCCATTTCCTAGGTACCAAGTCCATCTCTTTCTGTATCACTTTCTCAGCCTGCTCACAACATTGTGTCATGTTAAATGTTTAGCTCAGTTGCCAATCCCTTCATCACAAAGACAATGTTATTCCATTTCCGTAATTTCTTCAGTATCGTCCCTCAACGCAGCCCATCTACTGACAGAAATCTTCATGCATGCTCTTGTAACCTCCAGACCTGACTATTCCAAGGTGCAAATCCTACCTGACAGTGAATCCCTTTCAACCCTTACCCGTGTGCTCACTGATCTGATTATTCCCGATGCATTAATCACTCAGTTGAAAAATTTGTCACCTTCCTGTTCAAATCCCTCCAATCGCTCTTCCCCATATCTAACTTCCTCCAGCCCTGCAATTCTATGAGAGTTCAGCATTTTTCCAATTCCAATCTTTTGTGCACTCAGTTTCCTTTGCCACACTGAGCCTTGTTCTCAAGTCTCCAGGCCCTGAAGCTAGAGAATTCCCTCCCAAAATCTATCCACCTCTCTCTCTTTTCAGACATTCTTAAAAACTTACCACTTTGAGCAAACGTTTAGTCACCTCTTCCATTATCTCCCTTGGCTAGGTACAACTTTTTGCCCGATAGGCACTTAACAGACCCTTTGTCTCCTGCTAACTGCATTAAAGGCCACAACACCCAAGGACAGCCGCAATTCAAGAAGGCAGCTTACCACAACCTTCTCTAAGGCAGTTAGGGATAGGCAATAGATGCTAACGTAGACAATAATGCACCACATTACATGAGTGAATAATAATAAGAGAAGTTGCCTGACTTCTTCAGAGCATTATGATAAAACACTGGATCCCAGCTGTCTCTGCAATTTCCATTGGCCTTTTATTTAATGCTCCAGTGTGCTCTATGCTACTGATCACAGCATAACCACTATGATTATAACCTGTGCATGTTTTCGCCAATGATCTTTATTTCAACTGACACATAACCCTGCTTTAATCTTTGTAAATTTTCACTCATTTAACATTAATTTCAGACTGAAACTTCCTTCCAAATTGAAGTAAAAGTCACTGAACTAGAGATGATCTAGCATGCATTCTATAACCATTCACTCAATTTACCTTGCCTGTAGTCCGGTTTTAAAATGGGATAATCAACAGATTCACCTTTGATCACATCATTATCTTGAGATGTCTCAAGAGGATCATCAACAGGGACTTCCACTTCTGTAACAGGAAACACTGGGAGTTAGATATTGCATGATTAGGTCTAACAACTAACAGTCTTACAAAACTTAGCTAACTCCTTTAAAGGATAAGCCAATGACTAGTGCCTTTGGGGATTGATTTAGAAAGTTAAAAACTGAAGTAAATGAGCATCAATCTAATGTAATACAATCTGTACTCCATGTATATTAAATACAACACATTGCATGTAAGCTTTAACAACTTTCTTAGTGCAATTCATGCGTGGTTAACTTGGAATTATATTTTAAAGTTTGGTTTGTAAGTTTCCCATCTCATGTAAGATCCTGCAATGCTTCAACCTTGTGTAAATCAGCTAAAATCACTGTAATTCTCATCAAAAGTCAATTGTTATCACCTTAGAATTTAGCAGCAGTGGAAAGCAAAATAATTTTATTCATATATCATTGGGACACTTGTTCTACCAGCACCTTCAATTAAATTAATGAAAAGTATTCTGCCCTTGTATCTCTTTGACTATGGGGTGTCTCCCTAATGGGTTTTGAAATCAAGTTGACACCATCCTCGTATTTTTTGAAAACTCTTAGGTTGGTCTTAGATTCACTCCATTATAAAAGATTAGGTATCAATTTGGAAACTATTTTTGAAAATAAAAGATAGCCTCATCCTAACAGAAGTCTTGGCTCCTCTTTACCAGAATCAGTCGTGATCTCAATAATATGTCATTCCAAAGAGGCAGACACAATGCTGAATTTTGTAGTTGTTACTGGACCTTTTGTACAAACTGTTGTAATAATATCAAACTGGGAGAATGGTGCTACAACTAAAATGATTCGTATAATTTGCCAAAATTCTTACCATCGTCGTCAGTCCGTTCTTTGCTGCTACTCTCTATTCCTGATGTGTGGGAACTCCTGCGGCTCATCATTGAGCTATTATACTTAACTATACTGTGCACAAGTTCAGTGGAGAATGGTTCATCCACTGTCATCTCCACAGACATTCTGCGCCTTGAATCTGCCTCAATTCCAGAAGTATGCGAACTACCATGGCTAACTGTTGACTGACGGGAGAGCTGTTTGTTCCTTGTGCTTCCACGACTGCTTCCACTGCCATGAGAGTGCTCATCTAGTCGCTCAAGATCCATCTCAAAGGCATCACTGATGTACGATTCTCTGTAGCGCTTTTTCTCTGTATTGCACAAGGTGAAGAAATGCAAGGTCTAATATAAATACAAAAAGTATGTCTCCCAAAAATAACGCAAAATAAACTGGTTACATTATTTGCTCTTCCAAGTAATTGAGAAAATATAGAATTATCAGATAGATGTGGGAAGCTGTCATGTCTAAATTGAGTTTTGAAAGTAGGGTCGCAATAGAGCTGTTTCTCATAATGCTTTAAAAATACTGGTTTCTTACAAAATTAAAGTGAGACATCTATGGTGGAAGTCCTGTGCACATTAAGCAATTTATTTCAGATTCAACTTAATCACCCAGGGTAAAAAAACCTGAATTGGAAGCATTACTAAAAATGTCTCTCACCATAATAATTGGGAAATGTTTCAGATTTCCTGCTGACAGAAGCAAGCAATGATATACTGTATGGCCTTTCATAAATACAACACAAGATGGCAGCAGCAGCAGAAATAACCTGAGAGGGGCACATATTGGGTGTAATACTCACAAATTCCAGAACTAACTAAGCCAGTAGAATCCAAGAAATAGAATTTATAGTTTGTCTGTACTCTGTTTTAAAAATAATTCTTGAACCATTTCATTTTTCAGTCCCCTTGCAGTCTGGAAAACAAATCCAAAATCCCATCTCCCTTCCCACAAAAGCCTCTGCTCCCAAGTCAATGCTGTCTGGGAGAGATTCCTATGAATCCAGAAATAAAACTTCCTCTGGTTCTTATTTCTTCCCTTAATCTGTACTGTTACATGTTGCCCAGTCTGACTGAGGACAACTCTTTAACTTTGAATTTAAAAAATGTAATGGTTAAAGAACAAAGAACATTACAGCACGGGAACAGGTCCGTCAGCCCTCCACGCCTGCACCGACATGCTGCCCATCACAACTAAAACCCCCTACCCTTCCAGGGACTGTATTCTTCTATTCCCATCCTATTCATGTATTTGTCAAGATGCCCTTTAAAAGTCACTATTGTATCTGCTTCCACTACCTCCCCCGGCAGCGAGTTCCAGGCACCCACCACCCTCTGTGTAAAAAAACTTGCCTCATACATCACCTTTAAACCTTGCCCCTTGCACCTTAAACCTATGCCCCCGAGTAACTGACTTCCACCCTGGGAAAAGCTTCTGACTGTCTACTCTGTCCATTCCCTTAATAATTTTGTAGACCTTTATCAGGTCACCCCTCAATCTCCATCGTTCCAGTGAGAACAACCCAAGTTTCTCCAACCTCTCCTCATAGCTAATACCCTCCATATCAGACAACATCCTGATAAATCTTTTCTGTACCCTCTCCAAAGCCACCACATCCTTCTGGTAGTGTCGCAACCAGAATTGAACACAATATTCCAAACGCGGCCTAACTAAGGTTCTATAAAGCTGCAACATTACCTGCAAATTTTTAAACTCAATGCCCCGGCCAACGAAGGCAAGAATGCCACATGCCTTGTTGACTACCTTCTCCACTTGTGTTGCCACTTCCAGTGACCTGTGTACCTGTACACCCAGATCCCTCAGCCTATCAGTACTCTTTAGCGTTCTGCTATTTACTGTATATTTTCCATCTAGATTAGACCTTACAAAATGCATTACCCCACATTTTTCCAGGCAGCCATCAGCCCCTCTGCAAACCACCTTCTGGAAGCAGTGACTGCACTGATTCAAATCTTCCTCACGTCAGCCAATCAGCATCACCACTCTGCTGCCTTCTTCCGGGTTATCGCTTTCACTTGAACGTGGAGAATGGCTTGCTGAAGTCCACCTTCTGGAAGCAGTGACTGCACTGATGCAAATCTTAAATGGTCTGAAACCTGCACAGGCCTTGCACCAACACTCCCTCCATTCAAAACAGCTTACCACAAACAGACTCAATGCAGCATCTACTGAGGAGAAAGGATTTACTATGCATTGAGTAGCTCTGCTCTAACAAAACTTCTCCAGATGCTGATTTGATAACAGTATCCCTCTGAGAAAATATTATGACCACTGAAGAAAAGAAAAAGTCAATCTGAAATAAGTTGTACATTTAATATCTCAGTTCCAAATGTCAGTTATACAAGACTGGATGGAAGCAATTAATTTTATATAGTTCCTGATCACATCATCAGATTGATCCAGAGTCCTTCTCAGCCAACAAGCTACTTTTTAATTGTGGTATAATCAGAACAAAATCTCAGAAACAGTAAGCAGACAAATTGGTCAGATGACCTGTTTGTGATGGCATTGGTCGAGAGAGGAATATTGGATAGAAGGCCTCCCATGTTCTTCTCCAAACAGACAAAGTTTATGTGATAATGGTACTTTGGCAACTTGGAGCATATCCGCAGAGTCCTGGCTGCTTCAGTCAACTTATTGTTTGAAGTAGAAGGAACTTTACACATGTTTAAAATCATACACCTGGTATTTTCTACGCACCCAGGTTGTTTTCTCTGTTCTTACCTTCCATTTCTTCAATTTTTCGGATTTGCTTGAGCACCGGCTGAATGTTCATGTAGAGGCGATGGCTGCTGCTGAGGAGCTGCAGCAAATGCCTGGATCGGAACGGACAACCTGTGTAATAGATCAGCTTCCGGGCAGAGGGTAAACCATCTGGTTGGATCTCAAACTTCTTTCCCTGCATCAAAAAGGGATGCAAAGGATTAAAATCACACAATAAAATCAGACCCTAGCTTAGTTCTTTTCAGTTACATCTGCTCAATTCCATATAAAATTCAGGTATATTTTGTAATAATCTAATAATTGATAAGAAAGAAAAAGCCTACAATGTTCTTCTATAAATTGTTTAGTTCAAGAAAAATCTTTCATGCGATGTGGGTGTTGCTGGCAAAGGCAATATTTGTTCCCCATCCTCCATTGCACTGGGGAAGATGGTGGTGAGTTACCTTCTTGCATCACTGCAGCAGCCCATCTGGTACAGGGACATCCACAGTGTGGTTAGAATGCAAATTCAGGATTTTGATCCAGTTACAGTGGAGGAACAGTGATATATAGTTCCTCATCTAGATGGTGTATGTCTTGAAGGGGACTTGGCAGGCAATAATATTCCAATGCGACTGCTGCCATTGTCCTGAGAGCAATTAAGAGCTATTTGGCCTATAACATCCACGCCGTTTGCTGGGAAATATTTTATTCTATCATAAACATCTCACACTCACCACTACCTCTTGATCCCTACTTTAGAGAACACCAGTTTGCCCAGGAAAATACTAGATATTGATGCATATTTTAATAATTCATAATATCCCCTTCGCTATTTAATCTATGCAAACACTCTGAAGTAAAACACATCAGCTGTCCTCCACGGGTGACCACTTATACAAATCAGAGGTATCCTAGAGCAGATGATATTGTACTTTCTGGCAATATGTATATTGCTGTGTCATTGCTTTTATGGTTAAAAAGATCAGTGCATACAGAAGAAAAGAAACGGAAGAGTCTTTCTGTTTTCTCAAAAGCATCATTTTAAGTTAAATAACAGGGAGGATTATGACATCAGTTTAATTAGTGATACAGAACCTGAGCTACAATATCATGTCTTAAATTCAAAATCTTAAAAGAAAGGTTAGATCTTCAGCTAAGCTGCTTCCAAAACCCTTATCCATACCTTTCATACCCCTATACTTGCCGATTCCAATGTATTCTTGATTGTCCTCCCATTAAACACTGTGAATTTGAGGTCATCCAAAACTCTTTTGCCTGTACCTCAACTCGTACCAAGTGCTGTTTTTGTTTTGTTTGTGCTTGCTAACCTACACTGCTTCCCAGCTGAAACACACCTCGATTTTAAAATGCTCATCTTTGTTTCCAAATCCATTCATAGCCTCCCACTCAGCCCTCCCCATCTCTGATCTATTCCATTTACATTCCTCCAAGATTTCTGTATTCCTTCACTTAGAAGTCTTTAGAGTGTTCCCTGGTGTAATCATACAACCACTGCCAGCTGTGCCTGACGTGCCAAAGCTCTAAGTAATTAAATTCCCTCCCTGAACCTCCCCTCCTCTCTCTCCTCATTTAAGAGGCTTCTTAAATCTTACTTTGTTAACCAAGCTTTTAATCATCTGCACTACATCTCCTCATGTGCCTAAGTTTGGTTTGAAAATGCCCTGATGAAACAACCTGCATAATGCAGAGACAGTAGGAACTGCAGATGCTGGAGAATCTGAGATAAGAAGGTGTAGAGCTGGATGAACACAGCAGGCCAAGCAGCATCAGAGGAGCAGGAAGGCTGACGTTTCGGGCCTAGACCCTTCTTCAGAAAAAAAAAAATTTTT